TGAGGAGGGGACAGGAGGCGGTGACCAGCAGCAGCTGAGGGAATCACCACTGTGGAAGGGCCACAGTCTGAGTGGGATGCCTGGGCTGTGCCTTGTCTGCCAACAACTGGAATGCAATGGAACTCAAGGAAAAGAGAGGCCAGGACACCAGAGACGTCCAGGTGGAATGGCCTTGCCTAGGGTAAGGGATTAAAGGGGGAGGGGGAGGCTCTAGGAAGGGCCAGAGGGGCCATTCGACTTCTGAGTGTGGCAGTCAGCAGATAGCCACCACTGGAGGGAGGAAGGCACCCACTCACCCAAAGCCTCAGGCCTGCAAGAGGGGTAACTGGGATGCTGGCTCTGAGAAGCCTTCATGGCAGCAAAGAATCCTCTTCCCACTAGGACTCCAGAGAGCTCCAGAAAGAATGATGGTGGGGAGAATCCAGGGAAGGGGTTCCCGACAGGATCACCCAGGCAGCTGGGCACACTAGCTCTGAAGACAGAGATGACCTGAGGCCTGCAACTATCAGTGACTGCAGGGGAGAGGGGTAAGGGAGGGTTCTGGTTTCAGGAAGGAGGGTGGGCTCTGCTCTGCAGGACCCAGCTGGCAGACAACTGAGGTTTCTCCCCCACATCTACCCCAGGAAGCTCTGAACTGTGCCCATGTGCCACTCCCAGACAGAGAGCCAGAGAGAACAGTTCCTCATACTCAAAAAACACAGGTGTTTGTGGGGAGAAGGAAGGGTATGGATATAAGAACAAACCTTAAGATAATAACTGTCACTTCAAACACTCCAAAAACCCAGTTACCACTTCTGCCCATAAATGTGAAATATTTGCCTCCATTTCTATAAACTGAGAGCAAACACATTGAACAGATGTGCCTGCCAGAGCCAATGTTGAGGAGTGTTAAAATGATGTAATTCAAATCAGAGTTGTAGGACAAACAGAAGAAATGAGGTTTTCAAGAAAAGACTATAGCTGCTTTAGGTTTTTAGCTTTTAAAAAAATGTAAAAAGACAAAAACAGCAAGGCAAATATTACAGTATGTTCTAAAAATAAAGTCTACATTAGAGTTAATGAAAATACAAGATGTAATTCAAAATGTTTATAAATTTGAAATTTTTTATTACAGTAAAAAGACACACTGCTGTTAATCCCCCTCAAAACACTTCTTTCACACTGAACATATTCCATCACTTTTGCCACTTTCTGAAGCAGTTCTGAAGTTCTCTTTCATCAGTGTCTTCTTCATCCATCTTATTCACTGAATCTGGCACTACACAATTTCTGACTCTCAAAAGTCCAAATGACCATAAATGGTAAACATTTTTAATGGATTCAGGACATGGAGGCAGCCACAACAAAAAGTACAACTAAAGACGTGAAAGAGAACTGCTTCAGAAAGTGACATTAACAATGGGATAAATGTGTTCAAAGCAAAGGGAGTATTTTGATGGGGACCAACACCAATTTGTCTTTTACTGCAATAAATTTTTAAAGTTTAAACATTTACTGTATTTTTTCAGTCACACCTTGTACAGTTAAAATTCACTATTAAGACAGTCACGACAGGGCCATAATTTGTATGTCTTGGTGCTGGGTGGCTTCAACCATGCATGACTGTTCCATTGGGTGGTTTTTCATTAATTTTATTAGTAAAAAGGCTGATAAAAGTGATTAAATCCATTTGTACCACCAGTGGTACAAGCCGCCTGACGGGACAGTCACGCATGCACCACCTGTGGTTCAAGCCAGCAGGAATATATTAAATATAAAATGACTAAGTTTAGTTTTCCAGTTCGGTAACATTTTAAATATGGTAACACTGAAATGACCCTGGGTATTAGTCAATGAAGTAATTGCTTATTTTTTAACACTTGGCTCAAGGTATATACACCATTCTGGCTTTTACTCAAAGTGTGACGCAAGAGTTCTAAAACATGCAAGAAACTATTCAGACCTAGAGAAACTCCTGCACATGTAACTCAGAGAACTGTAAACACAGGCCACACTGTTCATGAGAGGGGAGAAGAAAAATCCTGGAACCAAGCCACATGCCAACAGCAGGAAAATTCAAATAAGCTGTGAGATAATCACACAACAGACCACACACAAGGCGGGTGGACTGCAACAACACAGCATGAGTGAGTTTCAGAGTCATGAAAACAAGGTGACAGGGCACACAGACCACACCATTTTTAGTTAGTAAGAAAAGGTTAGCATTCTCTGAAATCAAGCTACAAGTCACCATGGTTTTACTGTGCTCATGTTTAGAATGAAAATAAAAAACAACCACCTTTTGTGGGTAAAATATGATGACTGGAATTTACTTTAAAATATTGTACAAAAAAGAGCTGGGTAATGGGAACACTGTGGTTTCTATATCCACAACAAAACGCTGACAAAACAGCAAGCCCGCACAACATATAAAGTAACAAGAGGAGCAGAAGAGTGGATAGGGCAGGTGCAGGGGCTGGGGCAGGACTGGGAAGCAGAACACCCTCCGGTAGGAAGCGGGCTGGCTGGTGCTCCCTGAAGCAGTGCTCTTGCTTCTCAGCTGCTGCGTGGAGCCTGCTCTGTTTTATTCCCATCTAGCTGGCACACATGAAAGGACTACAGAGCAGGCTCCAGAGCATTCACCCATGAAAGCACGAGTCTGACAGCCTACCTGGGTCTCCGTGCCCAGCTGAGATTGGTTTAAATCTGCCTAGCACCAAAGGGAAGGCTTCAGGCTGTACATTTGGCAGAGAGCTCTGTTCAGGACTCTGATCACAGACTTCTACAGTTTTACCTGAACAACTTTAGGAGTAAGGAAAATAACTAGCAGAAGGTGTTTGACACCTATGCTCACAGCTGCACGGCAACCATGCCAGGCTGCCCCTTGACTGGCTTCCTTGCTCCTGTCCCCTGGGTCCTCCATAGTTGCTACCTCGTCTATCCAAAATGGAGTGCTCAGCTGGGTGTGGTGGCACACGCCTGTAATCCCAGCACTCCGGAAGCTAAGGCAGGAGGATCACTGTGAGTTTCAGGCCATCCTGGGTTACATAGTGAATTCAAGGCCAGTATGACCTTACACAATGAGACCCTGTCTTAAAAATCCAAAATGGAGTGCTTGGCCTTTCCCCAGGTCAAAACCCCAGGACTCCAGGGGCGCTCTTCCTCCAACACCCACTATCCCATCCTACCTACTTCCCCAGGGCCTGTGACCCTTCCTTCCCAGTTTTCTAGAGACATAGCTAAGTTGTATCACTACTTATTCAAAGCCATTCAAAATCTTTAACTCTAACTCTATAATCAGAGAAGCAAAAGAATCACATGCCCAAATGGGAAACTGAATTCTGTTTCTACTCCAAAGTCAAATTCTCAAGACCTGAAAGTCACAAATGCTGCACTGCATTATGTCTTTACTAAAGCTAGAAATATCAGTTAACACAAATTTACTGTATGACATTAATTCCACTACTAGGTATCTGCTGGAGATCAACATAGGGACAGAAGATACATTCCTGGGCCCTTATCCTTTCACTCATTCAGAGTATGATTTGTGCTTTCTTTGGAGGCAGTGAGGAACTTAAAAGTGGTTTTTTGCTTTTAAGAAAAATCACCACCACCACCACCACCACCACCACCGTGATTCTTCAATTGGGCCCACAGACGCCCAACAGGTAACTAAAGTCAGAACAAAGCTTGACCTCTATTTTGTACTGTATCTGTTTCCTACATTACCTTAAATCTTTCTTTAGGTCAGCTCTACTTGTAGGCATGTTAATCATTTAAGGAGTACCTGTCTAAAAGTGGCAACATGAAGCTGATTAGGTCTCATTTATGTAACCTATCTCAACCCTTTCAAGTCAGGGGACACCAAGAGAAGAGGTCTACAGGGACATTCAACTGCCCTTGAGCTCCCAGGAATCTCCAGTCACTTTGGAATCCAGCAGAGCCTCCAAGAGGTTGAGATGACCCCAAGCAGAAACAATCCTCTTGGGAACAAGCACTCCTCTCCCAGCAGTGAGAGCTTCTCCCAGCCTCCTTCCAAACCAGAGCTGAGATCATCACCACCCAGAGCCACCCATCTCAGCTCAGCCAGGCTCTTGGCCACTAGCTCCCACCTTCTCAGTCAGAACTGTGCCCTCTTCAGCTCAAGCTCAAATTCCTTCTAGATTTTTCTTCCTAACTCTTGCCTGTGCCTCACTCTGACGTGTTCTTAAATTCTTTTTCTGTGAGAACTAAGAACCTACTCTGTGGGTCGAGTTAAGGTCCCCATCTCCTCTTGGGGGGGGGCAGTTATCTACTCCCCAAATACTTTAAAAAATAAGCAAATGCAAAGGCTTGTACATGAATGTTCAGAGCACACCATAACAGCCCCCCAAAATAATCCAAATGTCCAAGCATCAACAGGTGAAAGGATAAGCAAAATGTGAGTCACACAATGACAACAGAAATGCAGTTCAGTTCATACACAGAAAGATGACTGGCTTCTGCACAAACGGATCTGAGCAAAAACACTTCAAGCAGCACAGCTGAGTATCCTCCAGAAAGCAAGCTCGTATTACTATCAGAGGTGCTGTGCTGTCCTGCAACAATCAGCAAATAGGTGAAAATACAATGGAAAAGATTTGCCTGAAGGTGCTAAAAGAAGTACTGTGTGCCATACTGATTTGCTATCATACTGTAGACACTGGCCAAATGGCAATATAAGCTCAGAGGGAAAGAAGGCATTCTGGGTCACAATGATCAAGAAGAATTTGCAAAATGAGTGCTTTCCTCTGTTCCTCCAAGGATGATGAATAGGATCTGAACTGCAAAAGATGAGGAAGGGTCGTGTACAAGGGAAGGAAAGCAGGGGCCACAAAAACAAACCACACGAGGCCAGGTATAGGTTTGTGCACGAGGTCATGAGAGGCAGGGTAGGTGAGTGGTAAGCAGATGTAAGGTCTTTAGTCTGTGAGTATTAAGAGTTAGGAAGGTTTCCAAGAAGGCACTGAAACTGAGACAGGGCTCCATTCAGACCAAGGGCAATGGACAAAGAAAGGCAGGTGCACGAGATGCCTCCGGAAGGAAGGCTGGTATCGGGGCTGAGAGGAGTAGGTGGCAAGGTGGGCAGAGTTAAGGCTGACAAGGGTAATCTTCCAAATCTGCTTTCTAACCTCCAACAATTTCTCAACTCCACAACGTGAGAAACGATACAGTAACAATTCAAAAGATTTAGCTACTGCTGGTAGAAATGCTCAACGATACAAATAGTAAACTTGGCTTTTCCTAAGCACACAACAGGTATATTTACCCTTTGACTCAGCAATCCATTTCTAGGAATCTGGGCCCAAAATAAACTGACTAACCACAAGAAATTGTAAACTTCTTTAGTCAGTGCAGAAGACTAAAAGCCCCAAAGATCAACGGGGGACAAGAATACTGAAGTCTGGTACTATCATGCAGAGGCTCACTGTGCCATTAGAAAAAAGGGGGATCTGCAGTGGTGGTCCTGACTACAAGGGACTTCTAAGCAGACACTTAACCAAACAAAGCACCCATCCTGTGTTTGGAAAAGGGAAGTCAATACTAACATAGGGGTACAGATAGGTTTTTCTTCTCAAAAAGAAAACCTGGGAGGATACATTGCAAATAAAAATGCCCACCATGGGAGGAAGGACACTGGATGGGGAAGGTGGGTGAAGAGGACTTAGGTGGGGCCAATGGGTAGGATTCAGAGAGACTGTGAATGCAGACAGGAAAGTTTCGTCTTTATTTTCACTAACCTCCTACTGGAACCTGGCATTCCCTTCTATTATGAATGCTGGTAAATGACCACAGTAGTTTTTGCAGTGCTTTCCAGCAAGGAATGAGATTTTCATTGTCCTGTGACAGTTACTGCCAGTTATCACTTATGCCCATCAACACTTTAAAATTACAGTAGTTATTGATTCTACTCACTAGGTCCCAAACGGGAAGGAAATATGTTAACAAATATAATTCTCAGAGTTTAACAGGTTTGTTGCACTCTGACAGCTTTCCTGATTAAAAAAAAAAAAGGTGCAACACAGTAAATGCTATAAAAACGTCTTGGGACATACAGTATTTGGCTGCAGGATCTCAACCAGTGGTACCCTCTGCCTTAGGTAATCACCTGGCAGTAACATATCCATAAGTAAATATGAAACCACAAGTATAAAACCTTATGGCAGTCCTAGGTAGGTTAAATATGATCATTTAGACATTTGTAAATGTGTTTATATGAAATTCTTTGTACCACTAAATTGAACACTCAATTTAAAAATTATGTTGACAAAGGATAAACTAGAGATGTTTCTAGGTAAATGGATACACTTTGAGACTATACTTTTAGGTGATATCAGATACATGTTTAAATATCACATTGTTTCTCTTGTGTGAGAAATAGAAAGGGTAAATAAGGACCCAAATGGATGGCAGATATTGGGAAGTAGGAAGAAAATGTCCAAATGGGAAGGAGAGCAGGGGGCAGGGGAGTGGAAAGGAAAAAAAAAAAGAACAGAAGGAAAAAATGGAAACAGCTTTTTTAAGTAAGATGGGAAGAGGGGAAGGGAATGGATGAAAAAAAAGAGAAGAATCAAGATATATCATGTATGGGTACAAATTCCCTATGATGAATGTGATCATTATATATATCAAAAATGTACTGATAAAATTAATTTTTAAAAATTATGCTGGAAAAGCCTGAGGGGTAAAGGGAGTTTAACATTTTACATGAGAATGTTGAGATTATAAAGAGAAACAGGTCAATTATGTGAAGCTGAATCTAGAGGGGAGACAAAAAGCTTAATTTTAGATTTTTTTTCTTGGTAATTTTTAGATACGTTGATTTGAAAAACATACCAAAACGAAAATACCCAAGCAGGCAGGTGAAAAATTCAAGACTGTGAAACAAAGGAAATCACCACCACCACCCCCAAAATTAGTAACTGGCAAAAAAAGGGCTAAAATTATTGGCATCTGCCTGAATAAAATCTTCCAAGTGTAAAGAAAGAACAAAGATGAGGACTGAAGCTTGTATTCAGAGAACATGGGGGCAGTGAGCCCCCTTACACTCACCCCCAAAAATGGAGGGGAAAGGGGAGAAGACATGATGGAAGCACAGCTAATGTGACTTTGAGTTCACATTATCAAAGCTACCGATGAAGGAAGGGAATGGTCTGTTATGAAAACGCCACTGACTATTATGTGTCAGGAAACTGGTGGCCTTCAAGAATGCAGATCCAGGTGGGGTAGAGCACTAGTGTACAGGCCCTGGGCTCAATCCTAGCACCAGCAATAAACTAACAAACCTAAATTTTAAAAAAAAAGGGACAGAAGCGGGGTGCGGCTAAGCCTGTAATCCCAGCACTTGGGGGACTGAGGCAGGAGGTCACTACAAGTTAGAAGTCAGCCTGGGCTGCACAGTGAGACACTGTCTTAGGAAAAACAAAAAAAGTAGCTCTAATAGGGTAAAAAGCAACAAAACTAGAGTGGGAAACGGTGCATTCAAGACCATGGTAAAGTGATGGGTCCTACTGCTGACACAAACCAGAAGGCCCCAGGATGAGTCCACTACCATTATACCCAGAATGAAGATAGGAGTTTGCTTCAAAGTTCCAAAGCTAGGCTACAACTATTATAAATTTACAGGGCCGGGGATTTAGATCAGTGGTTCTGCCACCTGCCTCACAAGCAGAAGAACCCGAGTTCGATCCCCAGTACCACACACACGCACAAAATTCTATTATAAATTTACAAACCAACAGATGTGACAACGATCATGCTTCAACTTACATTGTTAAAAAAAATAAGACTTCTGCAGGGCATGGTGGCACATGCCTGTAATCCCAGTACTCAGGAGGCTGAGGCAGGAAAGCCTGCCACAAGTTTAGAGACTGCCAGGCTGAACTACAAATAGCAAGACCCTGTATCAAAACTAATAATAATAAGCTTCTATGTGTATCTCACACTTGAATCATGCAGGCCTGAATTCAAAGTCTGGTACAAAAGTTGCCCATACTCTGCACTCAGGGTTCCTACTGGTCCTACCCCAACTTATATCACCACTGGGTGGCACTGTGGAAATGTGCCAGTCACTGCAGAGCAAAGACAGACACACAGCCCAAAACAAGCAGGTTCTGCTAGTGAGTCACCCAGAAGGCAACGTGTGAGTCCTGCCATGGTGATAGCTCTAACTTTGCTTCCTCAGCTTTAAGCAATCCTTAGAAATTGAGCTGGGTGGAGTGGTGTACACCTCTAAACCCAGTACTCCGGGAGGCAGAGACAGGAGGATTCCAAGTTTGAGCCTAGCCTGGGCAATTTAGCCAGACCTTATTTCAAAATAAAAAATTTTAATGGGGATTAGGGATGGGCCGGGGATTCAGCTTAGTGGTTCTGCCGCCTGCCTAGCAAGCGCAAGGTCCAGAGTTCGATTCCCAGTACCAAAAAAAAGGGGTTGGGAATGTATAGCCCAATGTGAAGGCCCTGGGTCAATCAATCCCAGCACTAAAAGAAAGGGGGAGGGGGGCACGACACAAATCAAAACAGAATACCAAAGGATGGGAAGAGATGTTGGCCAGAGTTCAAAAGTTTCAGTTTCAGGATGAGTGTGGTGACTGTAAATAGTAATAATGTATTGTATACTTGAAACCTGCTTTTTATAAAAGGGCTAAAAGTAGATCTTAAAAGATCTCACCACAAAATAGTATGAAAAGTGATGCATATGTTAATAAGCTTGAATGAATACTTTCACCATATACTTTAAAACATATTGTATACCACAAATACAAACAAGTTTTGTCTTACATCTCAAAAAGATGTGGTGGAGGAGACTTCAGCAGCAAAATTCTCAAGTACCAAAATATCTAGAAATGCCCAGTTCTATATCTCATACACAGCAGGAATTCCCCAAAAGATAGCTTTTCTCCTTCTAAAAACTGGAGTGGTGGGAGCTGATACTAATTAATTTGCATGAGCTTAATCAGACAATGATTAAAACCTACTGAATACAAGGACATTTTTAGGATGCTGAAAAATTATTAAGATTTGTAAAACTTTCTTTAAAAAAATAAAGTTGTTTTTTTAAGTACTGGGGATTGAACCTAGGACCTTTGCACTGAGATACATCCCCAGACTTTAAAAAATTTTATTTGGAGATAGGGTCTCACAAAGTCACTAAGTTGTTTGCACTGGGCTTGAACTCACCAGCCTCCCAGAGTTCTAGGATTATAGGTTTGTACTGTGGCCCCTGCCTAGAAGTTCACTTTTGATTTTTATACTGCACTTAATCAAACACACTAGTATTTTATAAGGTAGAAAATCAGTAAACAAAAAGCTAGTACTTAATATTAAATGTTTATTTTCCTTATGTAATTCAAAATTAGGCTTTCTTACTAATTACTTGAATAATAGCACCCTGGCATGATGCAGGTGTACTACAGACCCTGGGGAGTTGCGTACACCACATAATTTAGGGATACATTTGAATCTCAGGGGATACTTTAAAAAATCAAACCAAAGCTCATGTCATTTTATTTTCTATTTTCCAGAACAGTACTACTACTGGGAAGATGCACACATTGCATAAGAAGTTTGAGAGGGCCGGGGATTTAGCTCAGTGGTTCCACCGCCTGCCTTGCAAGCGCAAGGACCCGAGTTCGATCCCTGGTACCAAAAAAAAAAAAAAAAAAAAAAGAAGTTTGAGAAATATAATTACTCTAACAAGACACAACTATCAAACTGATGGTTTCCACAAGAGACAAGACAAACACCCACCACCATGGGTAGAGCACAAGCTTCACAGTTATCTCTGTCTCTCTTGGTTTCTAAAAACTGGTAGAGTAGCCAGATGTGGTGGTGCAGGCCTGTAATCCCAGCGCCTGGAAGGCTGAGGCAGGAGGATGGATGCCAAGTTCCAGGCCAGCCTGAACTACTTATGGAGACACTATCTCAAAAAACCTAATTAAAAAGTAGAGCCCTAGAATCAGTAGGGCCTTAAACTTTCCCTAAATGAATACAGTAGTCTCCTTGTGATCAATCTTTGGTTCTTCTAATTATGTAACTATTTGCACACCCCTATGTAATTCATTCCAATTTTACAATTACAAGAAGTATCAGATATTATCAAGTATGGAATTTTCTCCTACAAACTTCTCAGGAAACCAGAGTTTTTGTTCTCTTAGACCTGGTACCTGAATAATCAATAGAAGTTCCTCTTAAATCCTGAAAATCTTTTCACAAGCACTCAAAGCCTTAAAATTATTCAATTCAGAACTGAAATTTAATTTAGTCAACATCTATATTCTTCCTGATTCAATTACCATGTGACCTCCACATAGGGTGCTCCAAGTATTGCTGGTATGAAATGCTTTAGAAAACAAAAATGTGCCAAAAATTCTAAGCATGTTATAGCTGATAGGCGTTCTAGAGACTGAACAGTTTGCCCAAATAAACTAGTCTTAACTGCTAAGAACTTTTTTCCCCTTTAAGTTTATTGGTACATTTTAGGTATAAAATACAGTTACATTCATTATTGGGATCTTGTACCATTATATGAGTATCTTGGTTCTTATTTTTTCCCCTTCCCCTGCCCTCCCTTCACCCCCTCCACCACTCCCCATTTGCAAAGACTTTGTTTCCATTTTTTTCCCTTTCTCATATTTTTCCTTTTCCCTTCTTTCCTTTCCCCTCCCACTTCCCCTGTTCCTTTAGACATTTTCTTCCTATTACACAATATCAATTATACATTTTTAAAATTACAATATCAAGGTCTAGAAGATATTAGCACAGATTTTACAGAATTTAAAAGGATATAGAAAGCTTATTACAGAAATCTTTTTTGAACTAAATTTGACAACTTCTAAGAAGTACCTTGGAAGACAAATTAATGAAACTAACTCTGGAGGAAATATAAAATTTGAATAGCACCT